AAAAAAAAAAAAAAAAAAAAAAAAAAAAAAAAAAAAAAAAGGGGTGCGTAAGTGTATTATCCCTCAACAAAAAAAAGGGTGGGTGTGGAGTGGGCAGATGATGTATTACAAAAGACTAAAAAGTCTTTTAGCGTGGCGTTAACTTACCCTAGAGTTGACTGATTGTTTTTTATAATGATTTCATGCCTATAACAATCTGAATCTGGTCAGCTATTTAAGCAATTTCACTAACTCTTGCAGACATTTTATTTCAATTCTAACACTGATTCTTGTCAAGGGTAAAACCTAATCAACGAAATAAGTTGTAAATACCACAAAATATTTGATTCCCACACCGTAGTTTTTATTTATCGTATATAAATTTTGCACTAGTATCTTCAGAATTTTCAATATCGCAGTAGAATAGGGTTCTTGTAAGTAATCGGTTGTTACACAGTCCTCGGACGGAACATCAAAGGTATGCCACCGATGACAGACTGCACTATATTCGATGTGGGATCCACTGTGGGATGGCGCTGCGTTTGCGGGGCGGGTTCCACTGTGTACCGGGACAGCACCGCCGCCAAACCGGCCAGGGACTGCATCAGACCGAGTCTCTCGCCTGGAATTATTAAAAATATTTATGTTATTTTATTGTATCATTATTTTAAGCCCTCGAGTAGCGGCTAATGCCGACGCGGACTTAACACTGTTAAGACTAGGAGGCAGTATTTAGACTCAGGATGTTCATTTATTTTACTCACCATTTATGTAATAAAAACATATAAAAAATGATGATGGTTAATATACCTATATTTTGTAAATTAACTTACCAATGCATGCTCGAGGACCTTCACCAAAAGGCAAATATATGTGCTTCGTCATTGGATTGATGAAGTCAGTCAGAAAGCGTTCAGGCCGGTACTTATCGGGGTCCTCGAAGAATTGAGGATCTTTGTGCATAGCTTGTACTGGAATGACTATCGATACTCCCTCGTCTATTGTTAAGTCCGTGTCCGGGAATGTATACTTCCGAGTACACTTCCTCACCAAGTGACCCAACGAAGGAAACATTCGGATACCTTCTTTAAAAGCGCATCGTAAATAATTCATTTCATTGATTGCATCATAGCATAATTTATTGTCGTATTTCGCTAAAACTCTATCTATTTCTTCTTGCACCTTCATTTGCTCTTCTGGATGATAAGCCAGTTCATGTAGAGTATAACTTGTAGAAGAAGCGGAGGTCTCGAAGCCAGCAGCAAAGAACACAAACACTTGAGCAACCATTAGAGCTTCAGATAGTTCTATCGATACATGTTCAGGTGTACCATCAGGTTTTGTTATTTCCATAGATTCTCCGACCATGTTGCCTTTTTTCTTACATTCTAGCAGTAGGTCGATGAAATCATTTCTTCCACTTGGTTTGTTATTTCTCTTTTGCAATATACCTCGGACTAGAGCAAATACGTCATTTTCAATTTTTTTCATAATTCTTAAATGCTTGAATGTTTCAGGAAACATTTCCTTGAGCATTTGTGTTATTAATTGACTAACGTCAAATTTGAAAATTTCGACGCCGAGTCTTCTAAAAGCTGAATCTTCTTCACTCAATGAATCTGAATCCAGACCGAAGCCGACCGCTCCGATGAAGTCAGTAGTGTAGCGTGCCATTATTTCTCGGGAATCCAGGACACCTCCAGTTGGCGGTACATTTATTGCATTTTTCTGCAAGCGTTCAGCCCGTTCTATGATGAGTGGAAACATCGCCTTTAGCTTTCCGCTTGTAAATGCAGGCGTCATGCGTTGTCTCAATAACTTCCAAATGTCGCCGTCGGCAAAGAACAGATTCTTTGACAATGGCTCCAAAACAGTTTTATGAGTATTTAAGCCCCGTGTACTAAAATAGTTAAAGTCTGTCACGAGAACTTGCTTCACGAGTTCTGCATCTCTGATCACTAGTTCCGGTTGTGTTGCTCGATAGAAGCCCACGACCCTTTCTTTTGGATACCTCCAGTACAGTTCAGTAGCGATTTCTGACATGCTCTTCATTCTGGAGTACATCGGCCAGTTGTTGCCGAAGAACGGAATGGGCTTGTCATGTTTAATTCCTCTCTTCTCCCAATATCTAAATGTTCTCGTACCGTACAGGTACACGGCGACAACGGCCACGACTATAAGAGCTACAGCTAACATGATTCCGTTTACTTATGCGAATATGTTAATTAACCGGAAATATATATGTTTAACGCAGACCGATAGAGAAGTGATAAGGACAATTGATGCCAACAAAGATGATAACATCACTATATATACACCACACCACATGTACACACAACATCTGATAAACATTTTAAAGCAATAAAAATTAGCTACGAAAATAGTAGTTTGTTTTAAATGATTTTTAAAACTTAATCTTTAAAATGTCCATATATTTTACTCTAAAAGTACGAACTCGGGTAAGTCCAATTATCTGCTAAAACCTAAGATTTGCTACCTAGTTATACGGTAAACGTTATTTTATTTGGATCCTTAAACACCATATAAATTATTGTAACTATACAAACTGAGACATCCTTCGGGGATCCGAAACTAGTCGGTGCCGTCACCGGAGGAACAAAGCGTGAGTTGAGCCGTTTTTAATTAATTTTCGCTATACAAACTGATGTTAAAAAAACAGAATTTAAAAAAAAACTTGATTAGTATTTAACTACCACTTGCCTTTGCCTCAAAATATCATTAAAAAAGAAAAATTAAATGGTTTGCTTCTACCGACCTGCTTCGATTTTAAGTACTTCGGTTTTCTAGTCCAGTCCGCCGGTGGCGTTGACCGGGACGTGAAAAGCCGAATAAATGTAGGTTGGATGGAATGGCGACAGGTTACTGGTGTGACTTGTGGTCCAAGTATGCCTCTTAAGCTTAAGGGACAGATCTACAAGTCCATCATAAGTATTTTATGGATCTAAATGTTGGGCCACCGAAGTTGTAGATGAAAGGACATTGAATGTGGCTGAGATGCGTATGTTAAGATGAATGTTTGGTGTTACAAGAATGTGTATATAGAGGAAGTTTGAAAGTAGCGCCAGTGGTGGAGAAATCGAGAAGCAAAAGGTTAGCGTGGTATGGACATGTTATGCTACGAAACGATGGGGACATAAACCACAAAGTGTTAAGATTAAATGTGGACGGTTACAAAGGTAGAGGAAGACCGAAGAAAGTATGGATGGATTGTGTGTAAGAGGATATGCTTAAGAAAGGAGTGGATTCAGATATGACGGCTGATAGAAATGTATGGAAGAGCAGCACAATACGGTGGACTACACTCCGTAGGGAAAATTTATGATGATTATAAAAAATAAACTATTTCATGATGAAATTATTTCGTTTAACAAGTAAAGCCGCGAAAAATTTAATTTATCTTATCTCCAGCCAAAACACAATGAATTGAACGACAGGGAAAAACAAAACGGACGAGAGATTATCTTGAAAAATATTTCAGAGGTGCCAAACGTTTTGAATATAAGTTTAAATAAGAATTGTGAATATAAGTATTAACACTGGTAAGTCTTATCCGGATCCGGCGGATCGGTGATCGCTCAGGGCGTCTGTCAGAAAGGGGTGCCACAGTTCTGTAAATTACTCTCAATTACCTATTATAACCTTTAGTGAATATATCACTAAAGGTTATAGTCAAGTGCTAACAGTCTGCGGTGCCTAAATTAGGTCATGTAAAATGTATCAATTCATCACTATGAAATAAAAACATACGAGTACTTAACGTTATAAATGCGAAAGTTTGGAAAAATTGATGTATGGTTGTTAGAGTTTGTAGATAAATGGCTGAACGGATCCTAATGAAATTTGGCACAGCTGTACAACATAGTCTGGAATAACATTTAAGTCACACGATTTTGTTTTTTTTCTAATTCCAAGCGGACGGACTTTCGAGGTGAAAGCTAGTAAAAATTTTAAACTTATAAAATTGACAAAACTTGTAATTTTTTTCATTGAAACTTTAGATAATACACTTCTTCTACTATGGTATAACGCCCGGCAAACTTCTTGAACAAAAAGCGGCGTAGTGGGGGAAGTTTCGCGCACATACACTTTTAGACAAAATAATTGACCTATTTTGAGTATTTATATTAATTAGGAATGAAAAAATTAAATTTTAAATTTTAAGAATATGACAGACATGCATAAACAGCTAGTGCAATTTCTTTAGATGATTCTTGTTTCATGAAACAATATATATCATATACTATTTTCCTGACTTGTCTCTTTAGAACAATTTTACTTTTTCGTGGCATACTCTACATAAAAAGTCAAAACAATAACAATCAAATAAAACTTAACAATAATAAACAAATGAGACTCAAGAATAATAACAATAGAAAAAAATTATAAACAATTATTACCGAAAATAAGTAACAGCGAAATTGGGCTAATAAAATTGGAGATAAGTGTATTCGGAAGTAAACGGAACATGGGGAAAGAAGCGGGACGCAAAGGTCGACTGATTAACCAATAGCAAGAGAGCGCGCGTACGCATCCCCCCACTTGCCCCGCCAAAAAGACCCAAAAATTGACTTGTGCGCAACTAAATGTATTGTTCAAGATATTTGCCGGGCGTTATATTAATAGAAAATTGGTACTTTTAATACCGTGTCGTTTTTTGTGTTTACTTATGACTAAATTCATAGTTAGGTATATAGCAACCATAGTATGTTCAATATACCATAAAATAAAATAAAAAACAATTACATTAAATTAAAACGTACTTAAAAATGTTTACAAAAATGCTTGATATTTTTAGAAATTTACAAATCACGTTGATGAAACAGCAAAGTAATCGCGAAGCAAAGTCCAAAATTGCGTCAATGAGATTCCACAAGTCATCGTGAGTAGTGTCCGATCTGACATTGCAGTGGGGCTCTGAGGGTGAACATTGCCTCGGTCTAATAAAACATTAGCATTAATCAACAATCAAAATACTGGATTTAGCGCTACTAGCGCTAGCGCTTAGGGGAACTGTCCACCCTAACGCTGACCTTGACTATAATTCTATATTAGCAGCACCAAGTTTCACATACTACGTGCGGTAGTAAGTGGGAAGCGAATTTGATTCTTTGACTATACATACGTGCCTGTATTTGACGAAATAACTGTTAAGATTTCTATGAGCTTATAGGGAGGTAAACACGCCACTCGATTTTTAGTTTTGCAACAGTTGTGCGATCAGCGCAGTATCATGTTAGTGTATACTACGTCATCGACGTTTATAAGATTTGTTGGTGTACTATTTGCCCGGTAGGGGCGCTGCACAAATCTAATGCATACCAACTAGATGTGATTTGTACGAAACTGTTACGCAAGCGCAAGTAACACCTCGACTGATTTTGAAGGGTTTATTTCTACGATGTTATGTTTTTATTATTCGGAGAGGGCAAAGAGATTAAAATATATAGCGGCAGCACTTTAACAATTCACTTGAAACATTTTTTACATAATTAAGAGCAGCGCCATCTATCGATAACACGTGTCAATATTATTGATATTTTTTTTTTATTTTAACAAAAGATGAAGCTAAGAATGGATACGAGATGGCGTAATAAACTAGAAAAGTGACAGTGGCATTCAGAGAAAAAAAATGCTCACTCTGCCTTGACCAATATTTAAATGTCTTTAGGAAAAGGCCTTGGTGGCATTTATTTAATTGCAAGCATATAATACATATTTGGCAACATGTCGCAGTCCCTCTTATTTCCTTTAATAAAGCAGAGACAGAACGAAGCACGAAATGAATTTAAGTGATATACAAAAATGGTCGTTATATGAAATTTAACAAGATAGAGATTAGAATGCAACACTCATACGCGAGTATGAGTGGTTTATCTTCTTTTCTAATTTAAAAACACATTTAGCATGTCATCGTTGCGTGTTACTTTACACTTTGGTTTTTATCGCGTATCTACTGAGTAATTATATAAAAAATTGCAATAATCATGTAGCTGTAAAAGTACGAACGTCGGTCAAACGTAAGATTTACTAACCACCTATAGTCTTGTCAATAGAAATTAAGGTACAATATTCATACAGAGCTATGAATTAGTAATGTTAGGAACAAAGTTAGTACCGTGCTATAGAATTGGCGCAACTCTAGATTATCGGCATAAACGTCACGAATTAACACAACAAAAATTCTTTAGACAAAGTTGTTGACCATAAAATTAAATATGAAATGTTTTATTTACTTTCATTAAAGGAGCTACCGTTTCTGTAATAACGGTTCAAACCGTTGAAATTTCCATAACTTATTATGTACATCATTATTAAAAGAAAACATTAACTTTCAACAAATAAATAATAGTAAGTGTACGAAGTATACGAAAATCTCATAACCTTTGGACTTTAAACATAATTGCATAGTTAATTTCTAAACGTTTCTTCCGGTAAATCTTAAAATAACCCCGTTTTCGGATATTCACAGTAACTTTCTTCCAAATACAATGAATTGACTATTTTGTACAATTTACTCTGATAAACATATCGCCGTATCATTACAATAAAATGATAAAAAAATATTTTTTGTAATATCCATTCGCAATGCTTACATACAGACAAAAATAATCGAAGTTGTATGCATTTGCATACTCGACGGAATATGACAGACACGGGTTAAATGTCTAAAAACATATGTTTAATCTAAGAGATTCAAATATATAGAGGAGGCATAGTTGAAAAAATTTTCATATAATCATCACTAACGCCATCTATTAATAGATCCTCAAAATCACATGTCAACTATTTAAATTAATTACCAGTAGGTGTAATTTAATATTAATATTTAAATTGGAGCTTATTATAATGATTTATTACATGTCATTACAAGAACGCAATGTGGCGTACTAAACTTGATAATTTAGTACCTTTCAGAGAAAGTACCGGTGATAAAAATTTGTTCTTTATGCCTTGTCTATATATTATTTTAATGTCTTTATTCCAGTGTCACATTGACCTTGATCTTCGTTTGTTGTTATGCTAATCTTTTATTTTCGGAACGCAGTTGAGCTAGCGGCCCCTATGACCTTGACGCGTGCTTCAATAAATGTTCCGCTGCTTGATTCATACTTTGTGCACATGCCTTCTTTTACAATATGTAGTTACTAGCTTTCGCCCGCAACTCGGTTCGCGTGGAATTAAAAAAAAAACAAAAGTGAGTCGCCTATGTGTTCTTCCAGACTATACTCTACACCTGTACCAAATTTCCTAGAAATCCTCAGCTGTTTAGGCTACAAACTCTAACAAACATCCATCCATCCATCTAAACTTTCACATTTATAATATTAGTTGCCTAATGAGAATGTTTGGATGGATGTTGGTTACTACGTATCTATGAACTTATGCATCTTGACGACATTTAGCACAGTGGAACATAGTCTGAAAGGATACGCAGGCTACGTAGATCCTATTTTGTATATTTCGTGCGAACAAAGTCATGAATAAACGTTTAGATATTTATTGTTTACCAAAATTCTACAACTCGACTGCAATCTTAACAAAATGAAAGCATTACTACAGGTTACGCAAAAAATCTGCTGACATGAAAATGCCGCGTATAAATAAAAAAAACATTTGCGTCGCCATACACCATCTTCACGAAATATGATTTTTTTTTTGTATACAGACAATCCAATTTTATTATTTGTATAGATGAGCGGAAACTATTATACCAACCTTATCACAATCACAAGTGAGCGCTCACGTACTTATTTTAGGATAATCATTAAATGTCTATTTGCATATTTCTTTATTTTTTTTTAAACATAATCTGTATCGACAACAGGTAACGCTGTATTTTATTGTTATTATAATAACAACCGCGTATAGGACAGTATGCATGTATTTAAAAAAATACATGCATATTCCCTATTCTTTTTTTTTATTTCTTTTTAAGAAGCCTCTGTTGAATAACTACATTCAGTCCACATCTACCATTTCGACACCAGCAGTGCATCTTGAGAGATTTTTATGTCTAAAGAACTAAACACACGTATGGACCAGTTCATTATACCAAAGATCTATGGCCACCGCCAGCTTTAAGGAGGAAGAGGAAAAGATGAAGCGTGGGGTAAAGGTTATGAATTCGAGATAAGCTTTACATTTTTGTACAGAAATAACAATAACTAGTAATCGAAAATTAGCATCATCATGCTTATGGCCATAATCAGCAAATAACTATAACTTGTTACATCAGTACACGTGACGTTTTTTACTGGAAATTCTAAATTTTAACATGTCGACATTCAACCATGCAGTTTATGCTCCATTGGTCAAAATATGACTTTTTCAAGGTCGTGCGATTGGAGGTTAGGTCCCGCGACTCCGTCAGTGCTTAATTAATTATTATTATTAAATTTATTCATAAAACTTAATTTACACATTAACTACATAATCACACATATCAATCTGAAAAATACAAAATATGCTATGTAAAGATAGTGTACTGAATGATGATTACCGATGACTCAAGTATATTATAAGATTGTGTAATTGTGTAGTCATGATGAATACAAGCTATATCGTGTGAAATTTTGGACTCTCGTTTAAAATCATCAAAATTTTACATTTAAACTAACGTTGCAATTATCAAACGACAACTTATTTTATTAAACTCTTCGTTTGGGAGGAAAGAATGGAAAGGACAAAGGGACAAAGACGACATCTAAATTAAGGAGAGTAAAAGAGTCAAAAACAAACATATTTTAAATTTTTTTTATTGATTAAAGCCAATGAAAATACGTAAACTATACCCTTAATACCTAAATTATATAAAGTTAAAGTTAAAAAATGGTCATAAACCATAAATACAATTAAATTTTATTACAATTTATTCAAATTAACCAAGATCTTCTCTCAAAACAAATTTTATACAACTACTAAGTGCAATATATTTACTTACTCCTCAATTTAAACATTAAAGGCAAGCCGCCAATAACATTTTGAACTATATTAGAAGTGGGATCAATCTTGGGACAGCGCAAGGTTTCTGGGGCGGGTTCAACCGAGTAGCGCGACAGCACCGCCGCCAGACCCGCCAGAGACTGCATCAGACCGAGTCTCTCGCCTGGAATAATGTTTTTATTGATTTAGTCTGACTTTTTACATAAAAAAACGTAGACAGCGTAACAAAAAAATTTTAGCTCTACCATAAGTCGACCTTCTTATACAGAATCAGCTTAACTAAAACCAAATGAAGTTTTAATTTAACCTTTTTAACTTCTGTCCATTTTGCAACCTTTGTTCTGATGTTTCTACGATCATTAACGAAAATGATAGAATATATTATATGTATTAGTTATGTAACACATCAAAAAACAGATGTTGCTGACAAAAAGCGTTGGGACGCTAAAAAATGAACTGGTGAAAACGTAAAAAAAAATTAATGAACTTACCGATGCATGCTCGGGGACCTTCTCCAAACGGTAGATATATATTTTTTGTCATTGGGTTAATGAAATCAGTTAAGAAACGACCTGGCTTGAATTTCTCTGGCTCATCGAAGTATTGTGGATCCATGTGCAACGCCTGCACAGGTATATATATCGACACACCTTCGTCTATCGTAAGGTCTATGTCGGGGAATGTGTACTTACGAGTACACTTTCTTACCAAATGACCCAACGATGGGAACATTCTAATCCCTTCTTTGAAAGCACAATGTAAGTAACTCATTTCGGAAACTGCGTCATAACATAGCTTGTTATCATATTTCGCCAAAACTCTATCGATTTCTTCTTGTACTTTTTGTTGTTCCTCAGGATTGTATGCGAGTTCATGTAAAGTGTAGCTCGTAGAAGAAGATGATGTTTCGAAACCCGCACCGAAGAAGACCATAACTTGAGCCACCATAAGTTCGTCGGTTAATTCCAAAGATACTTCTTCAGGCGCACCACTCGGTTTTGTCAGTTCAATAGACTGTCCAACTATTTTTCCTTTTTTCTTACATTCAAGAAGTAAATCGATAAAATCGTTCCTACCACACGGTTCATAATTTCTTTTCTTTAAGATATTATTGACAAGAGCGTTCGCGTCATTTTCTAATTTACCAAATACTTTAAAATGTTTGCACGCTTCGGGGAACATCTCCTTAAGCATTTGTTTGACAATTAGACTAACTTCAAATTTAAAAATATCGATACCGAGTTGTCTAAAAGATGAATTTTCTACACTGAGAGAATCCATCTCCAAACCGAAACCGCAAGCACCGATGAAGTCAGTAGTATACCGCGCCATTATTTCCCGAGAGTCTAGAACTCGGCCAGTCGTTGGTGCATTGATTGCATGATTCTGCAGGCGCTCAGCACGCTCTACAATGAGAGGGAACATCGCCTTCAGTTTACCGCTGGTGAACGCAGGAGTCATGCGCTGCCTCAACAACTTCCAAACATCGCCTTCAACGAGGAAAAGATTTTTAGCCATGGGCTCAATAACCGTTTTGTGAGTGTTAATACCTCTCATGTGAAAATATCCAAAGTCTGAAACGAAGATGCGTTTTATAATTTCTGGATCTCTTATGACAAGTTCCGGGCGCATTGCGCGGTAGAATCCCACGACCTTTTCCTTCGGGTACTTCCAGTACATTTCTACGCCAATCTGTGTCATGCTTTTCTTCCATAAATACATACGCGAATTGTTGCCGAAAAATGGTATCGGTTTGTCATGTTTAATTCCTCTCTTCTCCCAATACTTGAACGTTCTTGTACCGTACAGGTACACAGCGACAAACAGCACAAATACCACAGCCAGGGTCAACATGGTGGAAGGTTTGAGAGTTAACAAAGAGAACGTAAATTTATATAGCCCGAAAGCTGATAAACTGACGATAACAGAACACAAGTTGGAGACAAACATGTACAATATTATTATTATCAAATGTTATACTAATTCATATTATAAAGAGGAACGATTTGTATTTATGTATGTAACAACATCAAAACCTATAGCACCATTTCTCAAATCGTTTGCCGTCACAAAGCTATATTAACAACGCGTAACCGATTTTAAATTATACATTGCTAAAAACTTATTAAAACCGAACGTCCATCCGTGCAAAGCGGGGACGGACCACTAGTGATAAATATCAGCTATCAATTAATAATTTGAACAGGTCACGCGCGAATCAAGATCTGGTAATGTGTGAAAACTAAAAATGGTTTATTTAGTTTACAAAATATATAAACACTAGCTTTCGCCCGCGACTCCGTCCGCCTGGTAGTAAAATGATAACTAATTAGCCTATGTGATCTAGATTCCAGACTATCTTCTACACCTACCCTATGCCAAATATCATCGAGATCTGTTCAGCAGTTTAGATTACAAATTCTAGTAAAGTGGTGAAGGTGGCTAGTGACCACAGTCCATCTATGCAAAAGTAATAGAGGGAATGCACAGAAAGTGGATATTACCCCTATCAAAACAGGTTAGAAAGGAGAAGGTGCCAAAATTCAGTCTCCCACACGCACCCTAATCAAACGATATGCGAAATTACTTCTACTTTACACTTGTCTTCTGTGTGCTCGTAGTAGAGCACCGAGCGAGCCAACGTAATCGTATATTAGATGTTGCTGACTCTAAAACAAAAGAAAGTTACAAATCCAACAATTGTTTGAAAGAGCCATCTAGCGTGTCAGTGTGTAACTACTGCAAACGACCAATCATTTAAGGAAGAGCCATCTAGCGTGTATGTAAGTAACTACTGCAAAAAAACAATAATTTTAGCAAGAGCCATCTAGTGTGTATGTGAGTAACTACTGATAATGTTTACCCGCCATATCAGTTTTTTCAACAATACGAAAGCAGCAAAGTTAGATAATGGAATCATACGTTTATGTAAATGCATGTATATGTAATTGTAAGTAACTAATTTGATATACAGAAGAACATTGCATTAACCTTAAAAATTAAGTAAGTATGAAATGCTAAAAAAGTATATGACTCGTTGATTAGTTAGTTATTTTGTGTTAGTTATGTGTAGTGTTATGACATAATTTTCTCTGTCTCTAGGCTACAGGTAAAGAGAAGACTTAAGAACTTAATTTTCATTTATTTTAAGGTTACGTCTTAATGTAACTATTATGCAATATGAGTAGTATCTCTGTGATCTTTACGATAAATTTTAGTGTTCATGTTTAGTATATTTAAAATATTCCTAAAACTACGGTAATATTGACACAAAGATATAACTAAAATTTGTGTAATCAAGAAACAGAAGCATACAACAGACATTAACAAAGGTTACTACGTTTTGTATTAGATCTTCATTGTTTATAGCGAGATATTTCTACGGTGGCTTTGTTTGTAAGTTCTACATGAACGTTATTGTAACGTATAATACAATTTAAATTCCTGAGTGACAGCGGTATACAATTTCTAGGATTTTATGGTTAATTTATCGGTAACAATTACCAGACCTATAGACATACAGGGGGCATATAGCGAACATTCGCGAGAACTTTTTCGTAACGACTACGACAATAATTTTGTATTAGATTAATGCAGCGCCCCTACCAGACGTACAGTTTACTTTATGAAATCGTTCTTACAACTGTAACGCAAGCTTCCGTAATAGAACCTCTATAATATATTTGTACAAAGGTTGATCTCGTGACGTAGTCATGACTGTTCAGTAATATTATTACTAGGCAATAAATATCATAAACATTAGTAACAAGTAAGATTAGTATGTGTTATCTGATATGTATAATTATGCTTTTTACATAAACACCTGCTATAGAGTTTGAAAACAATGAATTAATAATAAGTACATATAATAGTATTTCGTACACATCTGACGAAGTGGTGAACGCATAGGAAGGGGAAATTTCCTCTTTTTTTGATACCGCTTCTCTGTCATCATCACAAGCTCACTGAAAGTCCCCACCGAGGGTCTTGGAATTTACCCAAGTTATCGTGACTAGGCCATAGTCAACCACGCTGGCCCACTGCTGGTTGGTTGACTTCACACATATCTTTGAATTTCTTCGCTGATATGTGCAGGTTGCATCACGATGTTTTCCTTTACCGTAAGAACGTCGGCTAAATTATGTACATATGAAAATTCGAAAAATTCGAAAATCACATTGGTACAGCGAGATTCGAACTCAAGACCTGTAGACGCTCCTCTGTCGATTGATTGTAATTGTGGATGGATAGGAAGTCTATGGGTAGCGATAGCTTCGTTATTTCGGTGAATTCAGGTTACCGCTTGCTTGTTTGCCACCTTATGATCCAGAAAAATATATATTTTTTTTTATAACATAAGGTGGCAAACGAGCAAGCGGCCACCTGAATCCGCCAAAATAGCAAAGCGACCGCTGCCCATTGACATCCGCAACTGCAGATGCGTTGCCTACCCTTATCCGACAGAGGGGGAGACGCACATAAAGAGGATATTTCCCCTTCCTATGTATATCCTCCTCCGTCAAATCCACTTCCCCTTCCCATCCTCTCCTTGTAAGAAAAGAGTGGTAAAGAGAAAGGGACTTAAATAAGGCCTTTGTAGAATCAGTTTTCTATTAGTATAAAATTTTACTATGAAAACCAATTCTTTTTTTTTAATTTATTTCTGTATATCCACTAGTCAATGTACTTTTTATTTCCAACAGTAAATGTTATTATGATAAAGTTATCTCTGATAATGCCTACGTTTGTATGTGTATGTAAATATAACAAGTAAAGCCAAATACAAAGGAACTGATGTTTTTTTTTTAACAATTCAATTAAGATACGCTCAATATTCTGAATTCCTTGACTCAGTTAAATAAGAAGGCAATTTCTAAACCGACTGATAATATTATCACAAAATGAAGTATAAATAAAATTGGATCGACGAAATTCCTCCAAAGCATTGGAAAAGGTTTTTCTTGATAGATCATGAAGACGTATATTGGTAATGTTTGCTTTTTTAAAACGTTTAATTTTCTTGTACGTTGACTAATAAATTATTTTCATATTTAACAGGTTTCATAGCGATTTTGAAATGCGTGGTGTCAGCGTCGGCGGGCGCAGTAGAGGGCTGGTACCAGCCGGCCGCCGAGACTGTGTACCCCTGCTCCTATCGATACAACCCTGTTTGCGGCTCCGACGGACTTACTTATTACAACCAATGTATACTCAAATACAGTAATGACAATAACAGATACAAAGGTCAACAAGCGGTCTACGAAACCAATGGTTATTGTAAAGAATGTAAATGTCAAAATGTCAATTTACCCGTTTGCACCACCGATGGTGTGACGTACGCGAACGAATGCGAGTTAGATTGCGTTAACCAAAATCGCATTAAATGTGGCCTATCGATTATTAACCTTGCCTATAGAAAGAAATGCCTCGGCCCTCCGTGTGACTGCCCCTCGATCGCCTCCCCCGTGTGCGGATCCGACGAGGTGCTCTATAGAAATGAATGTGAACTCAACTGTGCCAGTAGAAACACTATAGCTTCTGGATTACCGGAGATCACGCTCAAGAACGTGGGCGCCTGCAGAGACGGCTGCTCCTGCCCTACCACTTATCAACCAGTGTGCGGTAGCGATGGGAAAACTTATGACAATCCTTGCGAATTGGAATGTCAAAATAATGCGTGTAATTCACACAAGCAACAGGGAGTTCAACCATTGTACAACGGTAAGTGTGACGAATGCGTTTGTACCGATGTTAAATATCCCGTATGTGCTAGCGACGGCACTACGTTTAAGAATAAATGTAGCCTTGATTGCGAGAATCTGAAGCGATATAATGCAGGACAACCAGCTTTAACCGAATTGGGTAAAGGAGAATGCGTCGGTTGCATTTGTGAGGCGACACACGACCCAATCTGTGGAACAGACAGAAATGTCTACGAAAACGACTGCATTCTAAAGTGCGAGAACAGAGCAAGAAATGAAAAAGGTTTTCAAGAAATTGGTATTTTGTATAAAGGAAAATGTGAAGATACGTCCTCCAAATGTGTGTGCGATCATTGTTCCGATGTTTATGAACCTAAATGTGGAGACGACTACGCCACCTACTGGAACTATTGTTGGTTAAAATGCTTTTCTGACTGCAACGAAGCGAAGGGCTTAAAGGGAATACAAGTCATGAAGAATGAATCATGCATGTAGTTGTACCAATGTGTAGATATTGATATATTAAGCATGTAAGATTTTTTTTATATCTAAATTACTCGTTGAGTGAAATGATCACATAAATATTGGCTGACATTCTGAGCTGGCGTTAGGGTTGAGCGTGGTTGGGCTATCGGCCAGGCCGCTGGTAGCGCTAAACCCGGCAATGCTGACACTTCAACATCACAAACTAAGAAAGCGACGAGAAATCAAAATCAATAAATATCGCAATCCCTGTTTAGTAAAGAAAATGAAAGGAATAAGAACATTGTATAAAGATAAATCTCAGTACAGCGAAGAACTAATGAAATTTGTTTCGTTTATCAAAACTGTTCACAAAGGCTTTACGTTATTGTGATTTGTGAACAAATCCACTTCTTTTGTATTTTGAGGTGATCTGCTGTCGCTGCGTGATTACGAATCTCAGATGAATACTTATGATGCAGAACTAGAAAATGTCCACCTTTAAAACGAAGCCTATTCGCGAGACTCCGACATCGTTAAAGAATAAAGTTATTGAGGAAATTATATAATATTTTTTTTGGAACATGACGTAATTTATTTTTAACACGTTACACTTTATCATAATCTAATTCCAATGATATCACCCAGTTTCAATCTGCATAGATAACATTTGTAATAATCGTGCTGATCAAAGTCCCAAATACTTATCGTTTGTTAGCATTTTATTGTATTATCTGTCCTTTCATTAATATTTTCCGTACCTTTTATAACATTACCTAATCGTAACTTTGAACAAACTTTCACCTTCCATTTTATCTCCATTTTGTCTAATTGTTTAGAAATACGCATAAAAAAACCTCAGAGAACCTAACCTAAGAACAATTTAATCATTGAAACTTTGTGTTTAGTCAAATTAAATTCCTAACATATTATAAATGCGAAAGTTTAGATGAATGGATAAATGGATGTTTGTCAGAGTTTGCTGCCTACACTACTCAACGGATCTCGATGGAATTCATAGATGTATAAGATAGTCTGAAGAACACATACGCTGTTTATGTTTATGTTTATGATCGCTTACTAACGCCCTTCTGTGCATGGAGTAAGATTTATTTTTTTTGTAACAGAACCAACCTATAGAAAGGGCTATTTCACATGGCTAGATATCCCCGTTGGACTATAACTATGAACAATACTTGTCAGATACCTTTGCTGCTGGAAACATACAAATCGCTATACGGAACACAATTTTAGATATAAAGATATGAGCTGACGATTTTGAGCCTTGAATAACGTTTGTTAAACTTTTAATTATCACCATATGATGGTGTTGTGGTATACACCTAAATACCTATGTAAATGTTCCCAAATGTTTGTTTCGCTGCTTTTTTACTTATTGTATTGCATGCCGGAAGGGGTACTTATTGTTTTTTCTCTGTATAGATGTTTGTAGTTGTAAATTAATTACAATAAATAAATAAATAAAATAATAATGATAACAATATCTTTTAGAGGATTTAACGTTGATACATCACAAATTTCTGTTACCAACATAATCAGAACATTTGTAAGAGTTTCAACCTCACGTAAAGTTAAAAATTATAGCAATGTCATTTTTGTTTTTACCTTGTTTCCTTATCTATTTTATTTGATTTTAGTATATATAAATATTAGCTAATGGGTCATTTGGATACGGGCATACATGAAGTCATGTTTACCTTAATTACGATATTCATTCTGTGTGTCGCCTTGTACCTGTACGGTACAAGAACTTTCAAGTATTGGGAGAAGAGAGGAATCAAACATGACACACCAGTACCATTTTTGGGCAATAAATCGCGCATGTACTTATGGAAGAAAAGTACATCACAAATAGGCGCAGAAATGTACTGGAAGTACCCGAAGGAGAGGGTCGTAGGATTTTACCGAACGACCAGCCCGGAGCTTATTATAAGAGATCCGGAAATGGTGAAACGGGTTCTCGTTTCAGATTTTGGACACTTTCACATGAGAGGTATCAACACTCACAAAACGGTTATTGAGCCTTTAGCAAGAAATCTCTTTCTTGCCGAAGGAGATCTCTGGAAGTTGTTGAGGCAGCGCATGACTCCTCCCCACCAACGGTTCCCGCCTTGTCGTGGCGGTGGGGCTCAGTAGC